CTTACAAACAGGCCCACAGGAATTCAGGTGGCAACAGCAGCCACTCATTAGTTTCAAGACTGTAGGTTCAGAACCTGCAAGGTCTAATAAATCACATTCTTTTAATCTCTGATTTATGTAACCTTATAATTATGTTGTTAAATGTACCTTAAAAAAAAAAAAAAAAAAGAGAATTATTATTAAAGCAATTTAAAAGAAAAGAGGAATATGAGGAAACATGTTTGAGTGCACACATATATGTAAGCTGGTAGTTCATCTCACCTATGACATTAGACAGGCACTTGAGCAGTTGGAGAAAGATGAAAAGGCAGAGATGCCTGGAATTACAATTGCAAATAGTTTGTCTCCCACTGGAGAAAATAAAGAATGTACAGCAGTTAGGGAAAAAAAAAATTAATTCGGTGAAGATTTCACACTAATTTGTGTCAGGGATTGCAACAAAGAATGTAAAGATGAAAAGAATAATAGCAGGAAAGAAGACTAGTCACAACAGCCCAAGAAAATGTTTATTATATCATGTCCCATTTCACTCTGCCTTGACCTCCTCTCCAGGTATACTCCTGTCAGGTAGAAGAACCACTTGAATCAATTCATTTAATTTTTTTCAAAAAATTGCTAGTATCGCACTTTGTATAATGTATTTTCCTCTCAAAGCCCTAGCTGACCAGAAAAGCAAATGAATAAAAATTATTTTTCACAGAACAACTGTGCCCTACAAATTACATTTTGACACAGGCACCTCACTGTATCAGCTACGCATCGCCTTCAGTCATGTCCTATGTGCAGCAGCTAAAAAATGGAGGGCTAAGCTATGCTGGTGACAATGGAAGGTATATCTAGCCTTTCAGGAGGATCAGAAGGTCAGACTCTCAATGGCTGAAGAAATCTGGCTGGTTCCTTCTTCATCAAAGAAGGGTAAAAGTTTTCTCATACAAAATAATTTGTGAATATTATCTATAATTCAGAATAGTCTTTGTTTCTATTTAGTGTTAGTTAATTTTCTGTAACTCATCCCTAGACCTGCTGAGTTTTACTTTATTCTAAAAGTAGTTTCAGTGAAGTTGTACCTCAGCATCATATTCCAGAAGAGAACTTCTCTCTAATCAGTTCTTTGCCTCTGATTGTCCCCACCCTTCTGGCCCCCTCTAGCTATGATGAAGAGCCACATACAACATTTCTGGTTTTGGCCTACCCCTTTGCTGCAACATCCTTACTCACGTGCTTGTTGCCTGATATCCTACTGAGTTATTTTCAGTTGGTGCCAGGAAGAAGACTTTTGCATTCATAAGCAATAATCAGAAACAAAGTTCAAACTGAGTTTTCCAGCTGAGCTTTAAGCTACACAAATAAAAGCAAACTGTTGAAAATCCAGGTGGGCTGACATTGTCATGACAGCAGCACGATGCTAACAAGGAGCCATAATAGGACAGCGTGGAGCATCCTCAAATTGCAAAAATTCTGCTGCCATAGCTAAAGCTTTGCATTACTGACTGACAAACAGGAGATACCAAAAACGAAGGAGAAAAAAAAAAAAAGTGCTGCTGCTGAAGGATCATCTCTTCCAGCTGGGGGCTGGAGGAAGGAGACAGGGAATGAGGTCATTAGGCCAAGCCTAATCAAGCAAGCAAATCCAAAACCAAAAGCAAACTTAGCAATGCCCTTAGTGCTATATACAAAAGAAAGAAACCACAGAGGATGAGTCTTGTGAAACAGAACTTCTGTCATTAACAATGATGCAGTCAGCACTGATACTAAATAGATATGCTGTGCAGGCAGCTATTTTACTACAAATTCCTACTTGTGCACTACTGCTGATATTCTCCAGCCCTTTCCCATAGTGCACAGATGAATTTTGTAGAAGAGTGACTTCAGATGAAAACTTCAAGTACATCAGAAGACCTGTAGAAGATTAAATCATAGTCTTATAAATAGCACAGAACAGAATAATTTCTAAATCTACCTTACAGTCAAGATGCTAAGTCAAGAGCTTAGCTTCCAGTCTGGGCTCAGTAGGAAAGGTTTTGCTGGAACTGTGAAAAAATAGCTTTGAGCTATATAACACAAAGGAAGAACTACAGACAACCACAGCTACTTTCCTGATCACACTTTGGGTATTTCTTGCACATTCTTAAGTGTTTCTGTGAAGCTGGGAATGGGCAAGCCGTAAGTTTAACCACAACCAACTGTAGAAGCACAAAGTAGCTATCAGCGGAAAGACAAAAAAGAACAGCAAATAAGAGGTGACCAGAAAGCAGTCACTCTAAAATTGAGTACAGTTTTATCTAGAGGAAAATGAAACATTCCCACTGCAAATACACATAAGCTGGAATAGCCAAAAGTTAACATAAGCAATCACATACCTGTAACAGTTTTAGAAGAAATGCCAGAATGGTTACCCTCTACAACTACCTCATTTTTCTACAAGAAGCTAAGAAAAACCACAGATCTTTGTCTTTTGTACTGCTCCTTTGCAGCTGGGGTTGGGAGAGCTGGGTGGAAGCAACAGAAGCATGTGGGACACAAGGATGCTGCTGTGGGAATGTGAAAAACACATCAGCTTAGTAACAGGATACAGTCTGGAGTTCCTAGTTTGGGCCTAAAGGTATAGGGCACAGGGCTGGGTTTGTGTTTTCTGGCTCATAGCCATATGAAAATCTTGAGTGCAACTTCTAGAGTCAAGAGTTGAGTGTCCAAGTCTCTGCTATAACTAGTCAGTCCAGTATTCCTCACTCATTGGAACAAACGTTTGAATTCATTCAACACTCAAATTCACAGAGATTTTCTTTACCACAGTTAATCCAACTTCTTACTTGGATTTTGCCTGTGATTTAAATCATTACACATGAGCCTTCTTTGCCCAGGTATGGGATTCTCTCAGTCTATCCCACTGGCCTATTCTGGACCACATGATAGCACAAGGAGCCCTAGCTATTAATCCTCTGGCCAGCACTTCAGTTATCTTACTAGGAGAGTGCGCCTGAATTACTCACCTGTTTATTCTTCACTGCCTTTCCAAAGCCCCCTCTATACATACCCAAAAGGCAGAGAAATATATCCCGCAGTTCACTGGGGAGCTAGCTTAGAGAGTGGTTCAACTCGCTCAGCACTACTACAGCCTCTGCGGACCCTGCTTCTTACTACAGGATCTCTTGAGAACATGGCACAAAGCCTATTTGGGGAAACGGGGCATGAACCACTATTCCCTTCTTCAGACTCGCCTCCAGGGACAGGATGAAAGATGATGCGGACGGAAGATTTGGGACTTGAAATGGAACTGCAGGACCAACTCCAGTGGTTTTCCTGTGATGAGGACCTGCAGCACATGGGTGGGTTCTAGATATGCTGTAGCAAAGGGTAGTTTTCAGCAGAGCTTCTAAGCCTGGGGTGGGCTGTTGCTTGGGCTCGTGTCAGCTGGTAAGAACTGAGAAGCATATAGAAATGGCCTCAATTGCAGTCATTCAAATTAAAACTGCAGTGAAGACCTGACAATTAAAGTGCAGACACTATTTCCACCGGGTCAATACAGCAGGGAGGAAGTGGCACACATTTTTGTATGAAGCTTTTGTTTAAAAAAATGTAGAATGTGTCATTGCTGATAGGGGTATTGAATAGCTCCCACTGCTGTGATAGAGTTGAAATCTCTGCTGATGACAAGCAGTAGCTTTAAATTATTGAAGCACAGAGCAGATCAGCACTAAAACACATTTTGTCCCTAAAGACTGCAGCCTATTGAATAACAAAGGTTTGTTAGTTGAAGTCTGTTGCAATCAACCCTTGTATAAAGCACGCATTCCCAATGCCAGCTGCTGTGAACATATTAACAAGAAAACTAATTTCTTGGATGTGAAAAAATCAGGTGTTAAATTTCCTCATTTACCCTTTTCTACCAGTATAGAAATCACTGCATATAAAAATATTGTTTGCTCAAAATAATAATAGTACTAGGTGTGGAATAAATACAAATAAGTAAAAAGAACTTAAAAAATTATTTGTTTCAAAGACACAAAGAAAACAAATCCCTATCATTTTTCCCACATATAAGGACATCTATGTTTAGGGCTGCATAGTGTTTCAACAAAAATCCATGTCTGCTGAAGATGCAAATGGCTTTACAGGCACCAAAGTTAGTGCTGTAAGAAAAAGATAGTCACATTTTAATTTTATAAATGTTTCTTGATGTCAATTACACATTAGAGATTGAAAAGTGAAATTAAAGAGCAGCAGGATGTGTTTATTTATCTGAAAGAGGTCACTATTCCACATTGGTAGTTAACAGAATGGTTAAAAGGAAAGTGTGTACTAAATGAAGACAGCAGCAAAAAAGCTGATCTGAATTCATCTGGAATAAATTCATCTGGAAACAGCTTTAATAAAAAGCAGTCTCAGTCCTGGGATGTTCAATTAAGCCAGCTAATTAGCCCTGCAAAGACAGGGCAAAAAGACTATTTAAAAAGGAGGCGCAGTAATGAAACTTAAAGAAAGGCAATATGAAACACATCTCTCAACATAAACGAGACAAGAATTCATTTTCCCTGCGGTGCTCTCCGCAGGTCCTGAAAGTGCCTGCTGCTGGCAATGAATGGAATAAAAGGGGAGGAGGGAGAACAGAAAGAGGTGTTATCTTACCAGCCAACGGAGCTTATCGCTCCACTCCCTTCATGACGCTGGGAACTCACAAGCCTATAAAACGTGTGTTGGCTCCCAGTCCCCTTCTCCTTCAGCAAAATCAAAAGCAAGAGGTGGCTGTACAGAGGAGGAATAGAATGCTGTTCTACCCAGAGGCAGCTCTCCTGACTCAGCTGGTACAGCATTTCTAACAGTTTGAACAGCGTAGCCAAAGCTTTTTCTGACAGATCTCTCCTTCCCAGTACCTGCTGTGCTGCCTTACCTCCTTTTTTCTTTGTTTCCTCTTCTTATCTGTTGGTGGGGATTTTGGAGGGTTGGTAGAGGGAGGTGGGAGAGGCACCTCATTCCTGGAAGAGAGGAGAGGAACGTCCAAGATGACTTCTGTCCCCAAAGCCAGCTGGAACGTGAGCATGAGCAGCAGGTGGAACATGAGCCTTGCTGCAGCGGGCGATCCCTGGGGACAGGTGCTGGGAATGCCAGCTGGAAATGCTTCTCCCCCCATAGCATCCTCAGCAGCCAACTTCTCCAATCAGTTTGTGCAACCCTCTTGGCGCATTGCCCTGTGGTCTCTGGCTTATGGTGGTGTGGTGGCAGTGGCCGTTTTTGGAAATCTTATTGTCATCTGGATTATCCTGGCTCACAAGCGCATGAGGACGGTGACCAATTACTTCTTGGTGAACCTGGCCTTCTCTGATGCCTCCATGGCTGCTTTCAATACTCTCATCAACTTCATCTACGCGCTGCACAGCGAGTGGTACTTTGGGGAGGCTTACTGCCGCTTCCACAACTTCTTCCCAATCACAGCTGTCTTCGCCAGCATCTACTCCATGACAGCGATAGCTGTGGACAGGTGAGAAAAGAGAGGAAAAGTTTAGGGGTGAGAGATTGAGATCAGATTCTCTGCTGAAATAAAAATACAGAGATAACAATCATTAAGCGATGAGAGGCAGAGCCCTCAGTAGTTCATTGATTGTGCTCCTCTGTACTTCTTTAAGATCTCTCCCTAACACACTGTTTTTGTCCTTGTCTTTGGTCTTTCTCCTTTAGCCTTTCATTGCCTTTACTCCCTCTTACTTTCTTTTACAGCAAACACTTCCTCACCCTCTTTGACTTCAGCTGCTCTCTGTGCTCCATCTTTTAATACTAATTCTGTAACAGCAGCCATTGCTCAGGGTTTTGCTTCCCCGCCTGTGAAAACAGTATCTGTCCTTCAGTCAATGTCATCTAATTCATACTCATAAGGAGTTGTAGAGATTGTGTGTGAAGGGAGATGACTTCAAATTTCCCTCCTCTCTGTATTTCTGCAGCTGGCAGAGGCATTTGCCTCCTCCTCACAAATCACTTCAGACTCTGTTTTTAATAGTTCTCCTCACAGACAGCTCTGAGCTGCTTGGTTCCTCCTGATTTTAACTCATGAGACTATTTACGTTGCCATCTGTGCATATCCAGAGGTCTGGTAAGAACATGGTTTCAAAGTGCTTGATTTTTTTCTGATTACTTGCAGCAAAACAAGCCTTTGTGACTGTGAAAGAAAACAGGACAGTGAAAAACTTTACGTTTGTGGTCTTGGCAATAATGGAATAGGACAGCTGTGGTCTCCATAGAGTAAAGGGGAGATGTAGTTGTCAGATTTCCAACAGAGATGCTTTGATGGACCATCTTTCTCAGAAGGTGCTGTGAGTCTCCCCGAGGAAGTGTTCCTTTCTTTAGGATCATTTTCACATTTTCTGTGCTGGAGAGATAACTTACCCCATGCTTTAGAAATCCAATAAATTCCTGAATTTTCTTTCAGAAAAACAGATTGCTTTGTACTTCACATCTCTTCTTCCTTTTAGCAATGCACTGAAATTACTCACAAAACTCCTTTCTACATATTCACATCATGTTATGCATCTTGCCTGAATTGACTTCGCAGAACTGCAGCACTTGCCGATGATGGTATTTAAGATTTTATAAGGTTCAATCCGTCTCCTGAAATGTTATTTCTTATTTCCAGGTGCAAAGGTTGGGAAACACGTTGTACCTTTTGTCTGTGCTGTGGACAAGTTCATAATAATGCTTTTCTGTCGGTCCTACCAATTGCAAATTTTAGGTGACACTCAGCCCAACGCATTTCTGTTCCGTAAAGCTAAACATGAAAGAGAAAATGAGATTTTTAGCAACTCTTCTGTGTCTCTGCTTTGGGGATGGGTGAAGACAGGAGGAAATCAGTACGCTTTCCTCCTGCCTGTGATGTATCTTGTTTCCAGCTGTTACTTCCCATTAATAATGGAGGAGGTAGTGTAAAGCCAGTGATACTATCTTCAACCAGGAAAAGATTTCTTCCATTGTCAATTTGGGTTTAGCTTAAGATTCTCATCTAGCTTGAGGTTTTCAGAAACATAAAAGGTTTTTAGTTGATGCTGAGGATTTAACTTACTGCTGCAGCTGATCATGTCATTAGCCGAGCAGTTACTAGGATGCTTTGAGTAAGGTTTTTTCATTTTTCTGACTAAAACATTCACAGAGATGCAGGACTTACTACCTTGAAAGTTCCTAGATTTATGCTAGGAAACTGGAAACGAAGGTGAATACAGTTCCTTGGGAATCCAAAGGGTGCATTTGTGGAGTGAGTGAAGAACAGCTCTGCTCCACACTGACTGAAGTGCAATGGTCAGATACAAATACATTGGAAATGTTTTCCTTGGTTTAGCAAGATGAGACACTGGTGCTCAGAAGTGAGTCAATTACTATTGTTATTCACTCTGATCTATTTCTTGTCTAAAAATCCCCTGAAGAAATCACAGTTTCCACCCCACCATGTCCTCCAAGCTCACCTGCCTGCAAAGACAACTCAAAATCTTCCCTTGGGGTGAGCACAGTGAACAACGCCACAGCTGTGTTTAGGGGAGCTCTCTGTAGTACCAACGAGCATCACGTAAAACACAAGAGCAGTCTCTCCCTCCTTCCCTATTCACACTGCAACTCCTTTTCCTTTTATATCAAATCACACCTGATGCATTCAGTACCTTTAACCATTCCCTGGCTACCTCTGCAGAACAATTCTGCAGAGTCAAGAGGAAAACTGAGGGTGAAAGTGAATCCCAGGGGAAGCCCTTGGAAGTACAGGTTGCCCCATTCCAGGGCACAGATCTGCCGGGTGGACATTTTTTAAAACTTTGGTTCCCATTTGCCTTCTGTAAAAGTTCAGCCAGTGCTTCAGACAGGACACTCTGGTTTAGTTTTGACCCAGTAAACTCATCTTTACACATTTATGTTCATTTAAAAATAAAAAAATACCAAACCAGCTACAAATTGGGATAAAGCTACTGAGGGAACTGAAATGATGGGATTGTATGAGATGATTTTCCGGTAGAAATTGTTAACATCTCAAAATACTGGAAGGTCACGGCAGAATTTAAGCCATCTGCCCTGGCCATTGAAGACCCACTGTCCCCTCCTACTAGTCCTTAGCATGCAAAACAGGTGGTTCCTGTACAACGGCACTTAATTTCCAATCCCAAGATTGCCTCATTATACAACTAGTCATGTGCATAGGCCTAGAAATTCTCTGTAGATATCTGACAGTTAAAGTGGAAGTTTGGAGATGTAGCAATACAGCATAAAATAACATGCCTTCAGTAGAGCACTTAGTATATTTTTAGGCATTTTTTCCTGTTATTAGCACATCTACAGTAGGACTTTCTCAGTTATTGTTCTCTCAGCAATTTCGTAATGATTTCCTCATTTCAACAAGTTTAAATCTTTGTAAAAGCAAACGCTCTGGAATTAAACAGGTATTCCGGAATTTAAAAGGTATTCTAACAGTGAGTAGCTGCTGATCCTATTCACATCTTCTCATTTCGTTTCTTCTTAGTATGTAAGCAAACTTTTGTCTTTGAAGAGCTATTACATATATACTAGATTTCTTTGTATGCAAAAGTAATTGAAAATAATAACATACACGTGCCAGTATTTCATACAAATGCAAATAAAATTAAATTTATGATACACCAATGTTCTGCATTACTGCAAAACAGTCTCCAAGGCTTACTGCTGCACAACATGGGTCAACATAATAGCATCAAAAAGACCTACATAACTTTTTCTAAACAAATTATTAGGAAAGAGAAAAACAATAGATTTGACCTAATCCTTTCTACAGATCTGCCAAATATTACCCATCTATTCTAGCCCTATACTCTATAAGAATCCCAGCCCATATTTCAGTTCAGCTACTTGCAGAGTCAAAGCTATTGTAATAGGAGAATGACAAAATAAAGTCCAATGTTAAAGAGAATTCCACTTTCATGCACTTTTTTTTAATCACAAAACTTTCCTCACATGTTGTGTTGATGTAAACTCTGGAGCTGTTATAATTTGATGCCTCAGTGAGCCATTAATAATGAAAATCCAATAATTAACTTCAAATCAGGAGATTATCAAAGTAAATCACCATTTTTAAAACTTAAAACTTGATCATGTCCCAAAGTCTCATCATGATTTCAATAATAACTTCACCTTTTCCCCCTTTTTTGGTCCTTCTGATAGAATGAAATGCCCTTTTTTTTGACCTACAGGCAGATACAGAACTTTATTCTATATTTGTCTAGGCCAACAGAGCTGTTATGAAACTTCCTAGCTGTATTTATTCCACAGAACTGTGTCTGTGACTCTATTTTTAGAAAGAATAAGGCTATTAAAACTAGAGCTAAAAGACAGGTATACTAGCACTCTTACCTCTGGTACCCCAGACAGCTCACTTAATTAAGTATGACTACACAGCATCATGTTGTTGACATGGATAACATGTTGTCATCAGGATGGATGTTTTTAAAAATTTGATTGAAAAATCAAATAATCAAACAATTTGCAGCAGAATGAGGCTCAGAATCCAAGAGCCATGAGCCCAGCTTTCTCTTCCGCAGCATCCCTACAGTCACTTTGCGGAATATCAGACTCAAAATCAAATTAACCTTCACTAATAAAAGCTTAGATAATTAGAGAATCTCCATGCTTCAGAATATGATTGATTCTCGTTATTAGCAGTCTCTGTTTCCTTTTGGTTGCCCTTCTTGTTTCTTTTTAGTATGCTTCAAGTTTTTATAGTTCCCCCTTTTAAAATGAAACACTGTCATAACAGCCTTTTTGGGCTTTTATTATTTCTGCAGAGATGTTAAAATCAGCCATACCCTAGACACTATTCAAAGAATAATTACATTTAAGCCTGACCATGGACACTGTTCAGGACCAACTCAAGAGCTCCTTATTTACTTTGGGCTTCTCCTCATCGATGTTCCATAGAGCGGTCATTAATGTTGACCGAGAATAGATTTTACATCCACACAGAAGTCACTGATATCTTCTATTATTATTGCATTACCTGCTATCACAGCCTTTCTAATTTGTTTTGGCATGTCGTTACTATTACTGTGAATTTCAGAGTCATGCTTGGAGTTTCAAACCATAAAATTCTATATTATTCATGAATACATTTGTTTTACTTGACTTGATTTTAAACTATATTTAACATTCAGTTTTATTCCTCTTCTTGCACAATCTCCTCTCTTTTTATGAGCCTTAGTACTACAGTGCTACATTCCTAGTTTCTAGTATGCCTATTACACCAATATCCTTTCTCAAAATTGTCATTCTAGTTTCCCACCTTATTTCTTAGACTTCTAACATGTCTACAGAAGCACACATATACTGGGTCAGTTTTCTGTTTTTCTGTGACAGTGTTCAATTACTGATGGCTGTTAATAATCCCTCTATACACTCATTAGACTCCAGCATAAGTAATTTGATGCAAGCTTGTAAAAGAAGACAGTTACAAGGCATAAACATACGATTCAATTTACCAAATGAAAC